TAGTAAAACAAAAACATGAAAAAATGCTATATTATTTCTAGGTCACTAATCAAATAAGCACATTTTTGCACTTCTTTTTAAAATTCAAGTATATATATATTTACTTTTCACTCAAACTGTTGTGCTGATACTATAATTGATTATAAAATAATCAGTATTATAAAATATTAATTACATTTAAAAATATGCAATTAATATTTGGCAAAATAGCTATGATTACATGCACCCAAATTAATCTGCTTATAATCGGGCTGAAAAGCCTTCATGTAAACACTTCAATCTATACAACTGAGCTCAATAAAAATGTAATTGAATTGAAAGATGACTGGTGTAGACCTGAAAATATCCGATCAACAGCAAAAAATAAAATGTATGTAAATGCTTAAATCTTTTTATTTTCTCAAATGGATTTTAAAACGCCTTGCACACACGCACAATGCCGTGATGCGTAGGTTTACATATATTTCACGTCTTACACATGTGCATATGTTTATTCACGTCTCATGAATTACGAACTGGTTAGTCAATGAGACTGAATATTTACTAAATTTTTGCTAAAATGCTCTTCTGACATATACGGCAGCTTTCTTTTTAGTCAAGCCATCGAGGCGAAAACGGCAGCAGCTCTGATGACATTAATGCGATGGCTTTCTTTGGTTCTGAACGCACGTGCATTGTTTCAGAATACATGTAATAAACGTAAATGAATATGTGAACTGGATTGCAACGTTTAGGGTTCATATAAACTGAATCTGAAATTGACTTGGATTGAGGAAAATTACTGCATGTAAACATACCTAATGTCAACTGTATTGTAAGGTAGCTGGCAATACCAAACCCTATTCAAAGTTATTTTAAAGCATCCAAGAGAATATCAGATTTTGAGTTCCCTGTCTGCCTGTCTGTCTATCTTATGTACTTTCTCAATTACTTTCTGCCTTTCCTTGTTGTAGTACAGAGATGTGTGTCTGAGTGGATAAACAATGTTGTGTGATGGAACGGCTGATCCCGCGGTGTGTGTGTGTGTGTGTGTGTATCTTTCTCTGCAGATGAACAGGTGGCTCAGAGTCACTGAAAAGGTCATCCTAATTCAACCGACCTTGTTTAGCAGGCGGAAAGGTTAATTACTATCTGATTGCAAACACAGAGGGCATCCTACCTGCAAAGATGACAACACTTGTTACGAGCAGTCTGAAGCGTTTGAAGGCCAGTGAGGGACACTCTAGCTTTACCTACATTCACTACAGTGAAAAATACAGTGGGATATTTACCCTTAATTTGGAGTCTTTTGTCAGTGCCTGCAATAGCACAAACAAGTCAGCATCAGCATTAGTATAGAATTAATTTTTTCTGGTTTTGTTAATGAGCAAAACAGAATAGAAAGTTCAAAATAACTGCATTCATTCGAAATCAAATCTTTTCTCATATTATAAATGTCTTTACTGTCACTTTTGATCAATGTAATGCATCCTTGCTGAACAAAGCATTAATTTCTTTAAAAAAGATTCTTACTGGCCTCAAACTTTTGAACTTTTCTACATAGTACACTGTAAAAAAATGAATCATGGGTCTTGTAATTTTCATTAAAAAAATTAAGGTGATAATTAAAAATAGTGTGTATATTTAATTAAAGAAATTGTGATTCAGTGTTGTATAGAAAATATTGAGGACTTTTTACTAATAAAACCAAGAGATGTGTTTTCCTCTTTTTTTTTTTAAAGGAAACTTAGGCAGTTTTGAGGCTAGAATTGAGGAACTGATTATTGTTTACATGATGAAATGGTCTGCCTTAGCTATGAAGATATTTTTAACAACCTTTATGTATTTAGCAAATCAATAATGCATAATTACAAATGCATAAAGGCCAAATACCCATCAAAGACTGATTAAATACAAGTCCATGTTTCTAAAAGCTGAAATACTGAAATGTAGTACTCTTCCTGGGTTCTTACTACATTTGAGATGCTGCAGCGTGATGCTGCACTAATGGATGACTTTGCTTCAGTAGATACAGCTCAAATACAAACCAATCCTGATGGCTTCCTTTTAACTGCTACTTGTTATTGTCTGTTCACATTAGGTGCATCCAGCTGTGCTACAGGTGCTTGAATTAAATAACCTGGCATCTATTCTAATTTTAGCATGGATGCCCACCTCACAGACTTTGGACCTTTAATGGGATGCTGTATTAGCGAGAAATTAATTCACATTCAATTCTGGACACACAGAGTATAATCTAAACACTGCTAAGTAAACATTCATTATAACAGTTGTTTACTGCACAAACAAAATTGTCTTCTGAGAATCCATAACTACTTAATTGACTTGAAGTGTGCCATTTTAATGTCAAAATGCTTATACTTGTCTCTGCACTGTAAACTAGGAGGACGTATTTAAGTAAGTCATTTGCATGTTGACTTCCTGAAGCATGTAAACACTGTGGCGCTTTCAAATAAATATTTTAAAATCATCTTATAGTGTTTAATATAGTAGTTTAATATTTTATTATATGAGTCTTATAAAATAAGTTTCAAACTGGCCAAGCTTATTTTTATGATAAGTTGAAATTGTATTAAATTTGTATTATTATTATTTTTTATGTATTATATTATTAATATTATACAATTTTAATTGTATTAAATATTTACACTACCATTTGGGGTCAATGTTTTTTTAAAGGCAATAATAATCAGCAATAATACATGAATTTGATCAGTGACAGTAAAGACGTGTACTATATATAGTTACAAAAGTTTTTTTATTTCAAATAAATACTGTTCTTTTACATTTCTTTTCATCAATGATCTTGAATATAACATGTATTATGGTCTTTTGCAAAAACATTAAGCAGCACAACTGTTTTCAACATTGATAAAAAATGTTTCTTGAGCAGCAAATCACAGATTAGAATGATTTCTGAAGGATCATGTGACACTGAAGACTGGAGTAATGATGCTGAAAATTCAGCTTTGCATCACAGGAATAAATTACATTTTAAAATATATTAGAATAGAAAAACGTTACTTTAAATTGTAATAATATTTCTCAATATTGGTGAGCACAAGAGACTTCTTTCATAAAAAACAAACAAACAAACAAAAATGTAGCAACCCCAATCTTTTGAATGGTAGTGTATATACAATTTTGTTTTAGATAAAAAGAGAATATATGCAAAGTGTTAAGTTAATACACTGTTGCCCATTCCTGTGGACAAATCCTGTTAGCAGATTCAGCAGGATCACGTCTCTCCCCAGCGGGGACAGAAACTGAATGCTAGCCCAAGGTCAGTAGAGTGAATCATCCACAACCATGTGAAATCTCCACCTGTAGCCCAACACCACCACCTTTAAAAACACCTCCACTCAGAGATGCTGCTCCACCTTCAGAACCCCGATTTCAAACCCCCCCCCCAAACCCCCAAAAATATAATTAAAAAGTGGGATATTAATCGGATGTCAGGAGCAGACAGAAACAGCTCTATTAATCTGCAGCGAGCTGGATGTGTTCGGCGGATCTATTAGCACCTGTGTTTTTGGTCACGGTGACTGATGGCTGAGCTGCATCTGCTCCTCAGACATCCATCCCATGATTCCTTGCTGCTCTGAGCCCCTCCTTCCCTGATTGCATCTAAAGTACTACGAGCAATGTTTACACCCCTATTACATCAGCAAATCTTGGCCGTTGCATTAATACAAGGGAGATTTAGGAGGGTTTCAGTGAGACGAGGAATCTTAATGAGCAGATTATCCATTGTGTGTTAACGAGGAGAATGGCAATGTGAAAATTACGTGTTTAAACCAGTGCAGGATTGGATTGTACTTATGAATAGTAGAGTTTAATGGGATAGTTCACCCCAAAAAATGTATTCTGTCATCATTTACTCAAAGTTATTGTGGTCTAAACTACTTGGGTACCAGGCAGGATTATTACAATTAACTAAAACAAAAATCATAAAAAAACAAAATAAAAATAAAAAGTTACTTGAAATAAAGCAAACATTTCAGCTAGTTGACAAAGCAACATTTCTTATTTTAATTTAGTTTAACTCAATGTACTAAAATAACTACAACTGAAATTAAAATAATACAAATTAAATTGGCCTATTAAAAAAAAAAATAAAATTACTATAACTTTTAACTAAAATTAAAATGGAAAATACAAAAATAAAAACTAATATTACAAAAACTATAATAGCATCTCAATGTATCTAAAAATACTAAGAAATGTAATGTCTGGAATAGATCAGCACGGACATTCTGTTAAATATCTCTATTTGTGTCCCACGGAAGAAAAACAAAAACAAAAAAAATCAATGGTTTAGAGCAAAATGAGTGCAAATAAATGACACGATTTTTTATTTTTGTGTAAACTATTCCCTTTATTATGATATTTCCTTGCCCCATACCACATTTTGGTTTGTTCTCCAATGCCCCGGGGTGCCAAAATGACAAATATGTCACCTATTTGCTGCCTGCCTCATGCTTTTTGGCCATCAGTCAGACTTACTCGCCGCTTCTGCAAGACAAGCTCGACATGAAAGATTGCTGTAAATGCTGAGAAAATAGGAGCTAAGAGCTCGCAGCCAAATTAAACACCTAAAGCTACTTGAATGAAAGCGTGGCCTCGACCGAGCATCTGTAGATTTAGATGCATGAGTCAGAGCGTGTGCCTCTGAGAGCTGTTTTTGGCAGTCTGTAAGGAGACAAGTGCCGAGAGGTGAGTTCTGGTCATTTTGGCAGCACAACACGGGAGCGTTTGCCTGCCTGACCCCTGCAACAAGCTGCAAATTGGAGTTGAGGCAGTTTAGTGAATCCTACTCTTTTGAAAAGGTGTCCAAATGTATTCTCGTCTTTCTTCTGTAAAATTGTGAAAATCAAAGTAATAGTCAGGAGGGATGTTTTTTGGTTTCTTTTTGATAGGGAAAATTAAACGAATAATCTGTTCAATAATTTAAAGCAATAGCTCACCCAAACAATTTCTATGCAATTCCAATGAATGAGGACTGAAGCTTTAAAAGCAACATAAAAGCAAAAGCATCATAGAAATATCCCAATATGACTCATGCTCTATATTGCATGTTTTTTAACCATAGCTTTGTTTGAGAACAGGTAACTTAAATTTTTACTAATAATATTCCTCTACAGTGAGTTGTTAAGCCAGTGCAACCGATCACTGATTCAGACAGATGAAGTCGAGATTTATGTCAGTCAGACTGATTTTGTGAAGTTGATCATGGTATTATTTTTTAACTAAAACTAAACTAAAACAAATAAAACTAAATAAAAAAAAAAATTTCTAACTCAAATAAAATTAACTGAACTGAAATAAAATTAAATACAAATATTAGATGAAAAACTTTATATTTAAATTTATATTTATATTTACTAATTGGCAACTAACTGAACGTTGAGGTACTAAAATGACTAATATTAAATAAAAATAATTAAAAACTAAAACTAGAATAAAAACGTATTAATAAAACTGTAACAGTGTAAACACTGAACTGGATCAAACGATTTATTTGAAAAGATGCGAGTCAACGGAGCAATTCTTTTACAAATCGGACATCGCTGCTACTCTCATGAATGACCAATGGAGAGATGGAGCAGATGTTAGCATTTTCAGTGAATAAAGGCTTAAATTTAGTTAATTTTGGCTTTTTTTATTATGTTTATGATGCTGTTTTAGTGCTTTTAAATCCTTTTCTTGAAGCATGAAATCTCTGGTCCCCATTCACTGTAATGGCATGGAAAAGAGCAACCAGAACATACTTCAAAATTCCTGCTTTTGTGTTCCACAGAAAAAGATTTGTCAAAACAATTTGGTTGAATAAATAATGACAGATGAATGATTTTGTAATAAAATGACAATTTTTGGGTGAACTATCCCTTTAATAGGCAATATACTGTATGCGTTTTGTGTCTCATTATTGGTTGTATGCAGGTGTGTGTGTGTGTTTGGGGTGTACAGACCTTGCTGCGCGAGTCCACGTTGAGCAGACACACTCCACATGCCAGCTCTTTGGCATTCTTAATGCCGTGCCTCAATATACAGGAGGAGAAGTCCAGTGAGCTCTCATCAGGCTAGAGAAAAACACACACATCATGAATGCAGTTCTTAAAAAGCAATCGGGACTCCATTGCATCCTCCACACAAATCCCTGGCTGTCAGTCAAACTTCAGTTCACAGAGGCCACTGAACCTCACAGCGGTTGATTGGCCCTGCAGATCAATACATCAGCTACAGAATCGGTCCAAAACAGCAGGATTCAGGCAGAGACAACCCGTCGACTCTATAACCACGTTCATTTTTATTACGCTTCAGAGCGTTTGTGGTTTTACGGCAGTGTGCCGAGACTTTATTCTCCCAAGCTGATATTATCTGACCGCACAACTCTAATATTATCTGCTGGCACTGATATTCTGCCATGAGTACACTGCATGACAAAGCTCTGTTCAGCACTCAGCAATCTGTTCCATACTACTGCACTTTCCACAAATAAGGTACTATTTGGTGTCTCATTACTTGCATCAAGATGCATGAATACCACATTTTTTGTGAGAACTATGAGATATTCTTTATATATTATTATCAGACATAAAATTACCCCAACAGTGAAGTCAATTAAAAGTTGGCAGGAAATGCAAATTTACCTATTATCTCTATGCACAATCAGCTTGTAACACTCCAAAGAGAAAGGAAAACTTGAAATCGCATCATATGACCCCTTTAAATGCAAGTTACAGATCTTTTTGTGAACAATCAATCTGAGCATGTTTCATTTCTATGAAACATTTTCATAACTTAAGCTACCTGTAAAAATTACACCAAAAAAGATTAATGAATATGTATGCATGTGTACATACATGCATAGATATATGTGTGTGTGTGTGTGTGTATATATATATATATATATGTAATGCTGCCCTATTAGTAGAAAGTGCCTACTGATCCAGAGCTCACAGCTCACATAAACCACAGTTTAACTCCACATATATAATCATATTTCATCATAAATCAACCAGACTTTTGTCTGTTGCACTGTAACAGAAATAATATTGTACTTAAAAGATGTGGTAGGTGTTAATTTCATAAAAAACTCACAGTGAGGTTTGCCAGCGACATGAAGCCCATCAGGTTGTTCCACACGCGGCTGATGTCTTTAAGCAGCTCCTGTAGTTTCTCCGAACAAACAGCCGTGGCTTTGATACCCAGCTCTACACGCTTGGTCACGCGATACACCTCCACCACACCTATACACAATATACAGCAGAAAAATCTTCTCAAACACATGAACACAATTCAATGAAATTCCAAGCCAAGAAATGACAACAAATATCAAGATCTGATATGGTATGATTGTTATGGTATGAGAAAAGTTAAAGGCTATTCATCACAGCAGCCAACTCACAATGGAAAAATGAAAAGATGTTTTTTTTTTTTCTCCCTAAATTTGACGCTAAAAACAAAAGAACATCAAGTGCACTGTGGCTTCGTTCAAACAGACAGCAAAATGATGGATGTTTAACATGATGGATGTTACAAACACGCAGCTTATCGCTGTACAAGATGTTAATTGATGGACTGGAGTCGTGTGGATTTTTGTGATGTTTTTAATCAGCTGCCATTCACTGAAGGATTCATTGGTGAGCAAGTGATGTAAAGCTAAACTTCTCCAAATCTGTTCCGATGAAGAAACTAATTTATCTACATCTTGGATGGCCTGAGGGTGAGTACATTTGCAGCTAATTTTAATTTTTGGCTGAACTATTCCTTTAAAGGGGTCATATGATGCGATTTCAATTTTTCCTTTCTCTTTGAAGTGTTTCAAGCTCTTGGTGCATAAAGAAGATCTGTAAAGTTGCAAAGACTAAAGTCTCAAATCCAAAGAGATATTCTTTATAAAAGTTAAGTCAACCACGCCTACCTAAAACAGCTCGTTCTAACACGCCCCCAACATATCTACGTCACGATGTGGGGAGATCGCGGAGTCCAGTCCGGGGTCGTCACATGTGGTTGCCGCAAGCCCGCCAGACGCTCCTTCGTCAAATCCACCGGCCGCGCCTTTCTCAAGCCCGCCCGCCTCGGCTCACTCTAGCCTGCCGTGTGAAACTACTTTGTTTGGTCTTCCAAAAGAGGACACGACTAGAAATCAGTGGTTAAGTTGTATTTACAACACTGTTCCAGAACAGTTCAACTAGGGGTGTGCGATATTGACAAAAAATAATATCTCGATATTTTCTGGGATTTTATCGATGACGATAATTAGAC